GAGGTGCATTAAGCACCAAGCAGAACAGTTTGCTGACACATATCCAATCGGTTCTCCATGCGTTGCGCGCGATCTATACATGGACGATATGCTCACGGGAGCTGATACGTACGAGGATGCGCTGGCAATACGCGATCAAACTATAGAATTGTTAAAGGAAGGATCGTTTGAATTGAGTAAATGGGGCTCGAATTGTCCCGAGCTACTAAAGGGTATGAGCGAGCAGGGCGACAGGCTTATATCCATTAATCGAGATCTTAATTTCCGCGTCTTAGGCATTCTGTGGGATCAGGTTAACGATACGTTCCACTTTTCTTATAAAGCCGTTGCTGTTTCAAAGCCTGTTACGAAAAGGTTGATCTTATCAGAGGTGTCACAATTGTTTGACCCTTTAGGGCTGCTAGGGCCAGTCATCGTAGTGGCAAAAATTATATTACAAGATCTTTGGCAATCCGGTATAGAATGGGACGAATCGGTGCCGCAGGATACGCACACAAGGTGGCTGCAACTTAAGCTACAATTAGCAAATCTCGAGCGATTACAAATTCCGCGTTGGGTCAGAGCTCATACAGACCGCCAACGAATGGAAGTACACGGTTTCTGCGACGCCAGCCAGCGGGCTTATGGCGCATGCATTTACATTCGCACTAAAACCGGAAAAGATAGCTACGAATCCGTTTTACTTTGTACCAAATCTCGAGTCGCGCCGCTCAAGGCCTTGTCGTTACCGCGTCTCGAATTATCAGCCGCATTGCTTCTTGCTCAGTTAATTCACAAAATGAAGGCATCAATCGACTTGAGGGAAATAAAAACATGTCTGTGGTCGGACTCAACCATAGCATTAAGTTGGATCGCGTCCCCATCTCGCAAGTGGTTGCCATTCGTCGCAAACCGCGTGGGGGAAATACAAAGATTAACGGAAAGGGATCATTGGCGTCACGTTCGATCTTCCGAAAATCCAGCGGATATCATATCCCGGGGTCTATTGCCCGACGAGCTAATATGTTCAGAAATTTGGTGGCATGGTCCCGCCTTCTTACAATTGCCTGAAGAACAGTGGCCTAGTGACGAGGTCGTGTCACTTCCCGACGAAAGTCCTGAGCAGAGGAAAATATGTGCCGTTGCTGTATGTTCGGATGACAGTATAGTTAGCAATCTACTTGACAGGTTTTCCAATCTAAATAAAATATGTCGCATCCTTTCATATTGTCTCCGACTTTCTAAACGACAGAGATTTCGACCGTCGACAGTCGCGGTGTCACCTAAGGAAATGATCCATTCATTGGATGTAGCATGCAAGGTCGTTCAAAGGCAGGCATTCGCAAGCGAGTATGATTCGCTCAGTAAAAACCGTGATATTGATAAAAAT